GCCAAATTTCTTGCAGAGCTATGTCCTACTCCACGCTATCATATATATCCGCCAATCGCATCTAATTGCTTGTCTAACCACCAGCCCAAAGGCTCAGTTCATGCAACCAGGACACCGCGATATCTCATCCCGCCCTCTTCCAGTGTATGGAAAGCGTCCTTGATACCCTCGCCATTCAGGGGGAATTTTTGGATGATTGGCTTGATGTCATGAGTAGCGGCAAATTCCAGCATCTCTCGATGAATCTCTCTGGCCGCCACTAGACTCCCCTGGATCCTCAGTCCGCTTAGAATGATTCCCATGTACGGCATCTTTAAGTCTTCGGTGCTGACTGTGAGAGGATAGATCGTCCCCGAGGGTGCCATGATCGGCAGGTACAGATTCCAATCTGGCTGTGAGGCAGAAGTGACAAGTAAGTGGTTGATGGGTTTCGAAGCCTTCAACTCCTTCTGGCCCTTGGTCGCGACAAATTCTCTGGCACCGAGCTTCATCGCCTCCTCCTTCTTGCTGTTGGTGCCGGAGAATACCACAACCTCGCATCCCATCGCCGTCGCGAACTGGATCGCAAGATGGCCCAAACCACCGACACCAATTACGCCGACCCTATCGGTTGATTTGACACCGTGAAACTGAAGGGCGTTGAAAACGGTGGCGCCGCCACACATCAGAGGCGCGGCGTTTTCCAAAGAAATCTGATCTGGGATCTTGAAGAGGAAATCTTCCTTCCACACGGCGTACGATCCCATCGATCCTTGGTCCAGATCGGCTGATCCGTATATCTTGCGCTCGGCGCAGAATGTTTCAGCGCCACGAAGACATTGCTTGCAATGACCACAAGCATCATGGAGATATCCCCACCCTACACGGTCTCCTGGTTTGAGCAGCGTCACCTCTTTGCCAACATTTTCGACAGTACCAACTCCCTCATGCCCAAGGCCCATGTCTTGCTCCTTGTAATGGACATCCGTGCCACAAAGACCACTGTGCGTGATCTTGACCAGGACCTCTCGAGGGCCAACCTCGCGGTGTGAGGTGGCCTTCACGATACCCTCTTTGCCTCCCTTGAAGACAGTGAAGTCGACCATTGTGAAGGCTTGGGTTGAGAATAGATATTGCTTGTTTTGTAGCTGGTGAGAGAGATAAGAGGCCGGGTGGTTCGGCCGGAAGTGTCTGGCTGGGATTTGAGTGAACTTCTATTCTCTACTGAATTTATATCATTTCGTTGTGCTGGACACTAAACGTTCATTACTAACCAATCTCAAATTTTCGCGTTCTACGAAGATTGCGTTCCGCATGTCGTTGACATCATCCTGAAGTCAAGACAAACGTCTCTATCAAAGCAATATGCGAGGCTAAATCTCTGTCGGTTTTCGGATCGATCCAGCTTGGAAATTTTATGACTAAAACAGGAAGGCCGACATTCCCGTCGCGAGGAAAGGCAATAGGGTTCAGGCCCGCCTACCGGACTCGTGCAAGGGCCTTGCATCTTGGCCTTGCTGAGTGAGGTAGGGCTACGGAAGACATCTTCAGACATCGGCGCCAGCGATGCAAGAGAGCGTCTCTGCACTCCAAGCCAACATGCTCATTGCTGATTGGTGGATGGACAGAGATGACGAAGCTCCGGAACATTACGGCCTCGTCTGCCTATCAAGAGCATGTCGATTTCTACCACTTCGTGCCACTCCAGCCCATCCTCGTCCCCTTGTACGTTGTGCTCGTAAGAATGTGCCCGATCTCTCCTGCCTGGAAGATGGCCCACTCTTTTCTAACTGAGACCCGAAAATCTCGGAAAAGGCCTTACCTCGGCGGAGATTGAAGATGTGCATGGATCACCAGGGTTAGTGATCGAGAAAGCAGTGAAAGCATGACAAAGGAGCAGAGTAAGTGCTGAAAGTCAACTCCGGATACTGTTCCTCTTCGGGATAACCCTTCTCCTCGAGGAATCGTTCCCGACTTCTTTGCTTGCCTCCACCATCACTCATTATCAATTGTCAACTTCTCTTGTGTATCATACATACAGCGCCGACGGGTTTCTGGTATGCGGAGCCCGATTCGCTTCGTCAGCGCATGTGCTTCGGGAAGAATTTTGGTGCGGCACGTTTCGCCAAACCCGCGCTGTCTTCGAAAGCGTAAGTACTGTGGTAAGTAACGAGTGTTCTCCTCGAGATGCCAACTTAACGTCACCAGACTCCGAATGGGCAGGACAAGTACGAGTACCGGCCCACTTCAGATTTTCAGTTTGCCACACTCCAGTCGAGGTCATATGCGTCACCAGTCGCCGGACTGTTCTGGCAGGCCGTTTTGCGGCTCGCATGCGCGACAGGGTTGAATGAGCAGGTCCTAGCAGCACTCGCGAAGTGTTGTCTTCCAAGCGGATATCAAAGATGACCTCCACCCTCGAATTCTCGAAATCAATGAAACGATCGTTCTCAAGCATGCCAGGCACGAAGCTCCACATCATAAACCTGGGCATCATGAACGTGGATGAAGTATTCCTCCTGCAGGCGCCAACGGCAGTTCCAAAAGCGATGCTCACCCTGCACTCCGTCGGCGAGACCTAGCCTACCTAGCGACTCATGAGGCTGACCTGCTCCTATACGAAACCGGTGCCCTGGAAGAGATACGAGAGTATGGTACTGTGTTAAGCGTACGAGTAGGTGATGGTGGGCGAACTGGGCTTGACAATATCTCCAAGTATAATTAGAGGATTAACTACTGCGTACGGGGTAGATAACGTCGCGATGGTGGCATTGCGACAAAATCGCAGTGCCGGGCCACAGTATCCCCAGGATATAAGTGAGGGCTCTCAGGCAAATCAGTTTGAGGCTCAAGTTACCTGCAGGTCGAGATGTACGTAAAATGTGATGCCGGTGGCTTTGGCCGTTTGCGGAGGAGCAGGAGCAGCCCTGCATGAACGCCTCGTACGTACTGTACCTCGTAAATCGTAACCCAGCACCAAAGTAATTTGCTGATCTGCGGGTCGACGGAATTGATTTCCTGGGCGTGGGTGGCGTGGCTGCCAGCGACCGCTGGGTCGACACTGGTGAGTCTTGGATCTTTGCTTCGGTCAAGATCACCATGTTACGAGCTCCGTACGAGGTAGTGCTAATGAATCAGTGGGTTGTGTCGCGTGCCTCTGGCAACAATCGTGGAGATGCTCAAAGACCGAATCTGGCAGCAGGTCACTTTCATCTCGAATTGCACTCTGGGATACACCAATCAGATGCAGCGGTTTTCATACCCCTGTTGGACACGGTGCCGGTCCCAAGTGAGATTTGAGTGAACGTAATAGATTTATCCATGCGGCGAGGTTGCTCTGAAGTGCTACGTTGTAGATTGAGTGCTGAAGCGGCTCCGAAGAGTTAGTCATTAGCAGCCGTTCTATCGTCATTCCAGTTTAGGTTTATGCAGCTGCAACTATGAGCTCGCGTAGAAACAATAACTCTTCGCAACGGTCGTCTGGCTGAGACACGACCAAGATTGAGACTGGCGTGAACGGAAAGTCTTGAGTGCGAAGAGCTGCAAGTGGCAGGTACTCCTTGTGTCGAATGTCCTGTGTAGTCAACTTTGCCATGCCATTCAGAAACCTCTGTCTACACAGGAGAGAACGGGCGATACCGGTAAGCAGCAATGATTTAAGGGTCTTCCCGTGGCTCTGTGCGTCTTGACGTGGTGGAACAGTAGCAAGGAAGCAGCCTGTAAATCCCAGATTCTGTCACCGGTCGGACAGTTTTTGCGTCAACGAGCGTGTCACCCTGCAACCCTGGCAATTCGCCCATAGCGGCCACGACTCCGTACTATATGTACTCGCGCCATGAGATCTTGTGGCTACTGTCCCACTGATCAGCGGCTTCTGGACTTGATGGTCGTTCTACCTCGTCCTGTTGCAGCGTACCTCGAGGCTGAGTGGGTGGCGAAAGAATACGAACAGATAATCAAAGACGACTTGGGTTTCAGCAGTGCAATGTCCCGGAGCTGCCATTCAATCGTCGTTCGCCGAGTCAAGACCATGATCGCATTTCAGTGCCAGCTGCTTCAACTTGACCTCGTCCACTCGAGCTGGGGTCAATCTTGACGACCCTGGACCTGCGCGATGTCGTTGGTCGGGACCCGGACTGCGGCCACAGAGCCCCTGAATTAGCCAGAGTGTGCAGCAGAGGCTGGAGGAGCGTCCCTAGTGAGGGCTAGCCGTTCGGGGTGCAGCTGTGGCTTGGGCTTCCCTGGAAATGGGCAAATGAGAAGCCGTGGCCGGCATCTGGGTTTCGGGTGGCTTTCGGCCAAAGTCGTAAAAATAACCAGGGAGATCCCTTCCGTTTTCCAGTCGGCCGTCTTTGGCTGTGTTTCTCGCAGCCCGCTTGGAGTTGCTGGAGGTCTACCGTCACTCATGATCTTCACCGGGATGGGGATGCTGCCAGCGCCAATGCCAGTGCGTGCCACCTAAATCTGCTAGGTGGTGCGACTGCACCTGCGACCTGCACCGTCGAATCGTCCCGCTTCTGCAGTGCGCAGTCCCCCATTCAATGTGCGCCCATGTTTTTCGCCTGCATCTCGGGTTGTCGCTTTTCTCTCAGTTGTCACTCACCACGGAACAAAGCACTCCCACTCACTCCTACGCTCTTTCCCTCGTCACTTTCCCTTCATCCATTCGTTTCGCATCCTTAAGACGAGCGCCTCGACTTGTTGCTGCTTGGCTCGTGAGGTCGGTCACCGTCATCGTATAATCTGAGCGACATTGTCATCCGCTTTTAGACCTCACCAGCTGCGACTTCGCCAGCCCCCGGACCCGGCTTCAACGCACCGTCTTCCTGCCCGCTGTACTCCTCCAGCTCAGCCCCTTCCTGTCGGCCAGGACATCATTCGTTTTCAAGCACTCTGCAGAGTCTTAGTCAATGGTCTCCCTTCGCCGTTTCTCCGACCTCGTTTGTTCCGGAACCACCCAACATACGGTCCGGGTGCCACGCTCTCTGCGACCGTAACAACTCTCAACACCAATTTTCACCATGAGCCGTCCTAATTACATCGAGATCCCCTCCGACAACTCGCGTTCAGCCAGTGCGCTGTCAAGGAGTGGATTTTCACCCCGGATCCAGCATTTCGACGGAGATGTCCCGCCTGCGCTGTCGCCCTTGGACGCAATTGCGGCACGAAGCCGAAAGTTGGCCAAAGAGCTGGAAGAGACCAGGAAAGCGGGAGAACGGCGGATGAGCAGGTTGTCGCCGCAGATTGTGACGGATTCCCTGACCGAGCATCAAAACAATCGTCCCCCAATCTTTCGAGCCTTGTCCGATGGACTGGATACTGTTCCGCCTCTTCCTGTGCTTGAAAAAGATCGAGGCGGTAACTTTGCCCGCGTCGCTCACCCTTTGAACCGACCGACCTCGCAACGCATTCGAATGGGCAGCATCGCATCCAAGGCCGCGGACGAACCAGACAGTAAACCGCTGTCGCCAGTGCAAGATTATTTCGGTGCCCCTCGAGTAGAATCCCCTCCGCCTCTTGAACCAAGGGGACCGCAGTCACCCCCTCAAATTTCCGAGAGCCCGTCCTTACATCCTCAACCCGGGCTGTCCAGACAGATCTCCAGCACTTCTCAATCAGAGCTGAGCGCGACGTTGGCGCCTCCCCGATCTCATTCGGATAGATTAAGACCTTACCAGGATTCTGATGACGACTACACCAGCTCCAACGCCGGTTCGACTTTCTCTCAGTCGAGGAAACTGTCCGCCAGCAGCGGTTTCTCTGCTCCTCACTCTCCGCTCTCGCCATATTTACAATTTCACGGCCGCACTCCGTCGAGTGGCTCGCTTGAATCTCCGACGAAACCCACTTTGACACGGAATTTCTCGCGCCCGCTAAGCTCAGCGAGCTTGTCAAATCTAAGAGCAGAGAAAAGCCCGTCAAAAGCAACATTCGCAAACCGGATGAGCCAGCTTCGGCCCGCGAACTCTTTCGATAACTCCACCTCGGCACCAAACGGATACCTCGCTGGGGAAGCGTCTTCATACACTCATGCAACCTATAGCCTACCGCGGGGCAAAGATGTGTCTGGCCGTACTTCCCAGCTCTTCTCTGCCCTGTCGACGCCCCATTTTGAATGGCAGGAACCTATGTTCCCAGGCACCCCTCCGCTAGAGGGCAAAAGTAGTACGGAGCTCCCTGTTCCGTCACCGATGGCTTCAGCACGGCCGAGCAGAGAGGAACAGACCCAGAGATCTGGGTTGTCGTTTGAGCTTAATGCCGAAAACTCGCTTGTGGGACCCGACCGACCGTCGCCCGCAACGGCGTATTACACGCCAACAGGCTCTCTCCGCTCAAACGATTCGGCAGGCTCGAGGCCTTCCCTAGGCCAGCTACCGCCTCCTCCTTCGGGCTTTATGCTACCTCCCACCCCCCTCTCACCCGTCGAGGAGATGTCACACTCTTCAAGGTCAACTAGCACCGTTCGGCCTACGACTGCTCGAAGTGGCAGTAACTACCAAGGACTTTCCACAGATGACCATGTCACCAAAGCAATCGAACTTCATGAGGACGGAAAACTCAATGAGTCGACATATCATCTGCGAATCGCAGCCAACAAGGGTCACGCGACTGCGATGCTTCTGTATGCCCTTGCCTGCCGTCATGGTTGGGGTCTCCGGCCAAATCCGAAAGAAGGCGTTCAATGGTTGCGCAAAGCGGTAGATTGCGCCATGCTCGATATTGCGGAGGACGAAGACCCGGCGTCTCGAAAGCCGGGTGTCGATTATCATGAGAAGAGGGCACATCGGGCCCAGTTCGCGCTGAGCGTGTATGAACTCGGCGTCTCTCACCTCAATGGCTGGGGCGTCGAGCAGGACAAAACCTTGGCCCTGCGATGTTTCGAGATAGCTGGCAATTGGGGAGACACCGACGCACTGAGTGAGGCCGGTTTCTGTTATGCCGAGGGGATTGGCTGCAAGAAAGATATGAAGAAAGCAGCCAAGTTCTACCGCATGGCAGAGGCGAAAGGCGTCAGCATGGTCGGAAACAGTTGGTAAGTTTGGATTGACTTCGGGTCGGTTTGTGCGGTCATTAATGTATCACGGCAGGATCTACAAAGCTAAATACAACGATTCCGATGACGAGGGCGAACGAGCTCGGTCTGCAGGAAAGACGTCTTCGCCGAAGCCTCGCAGCAAGTCCAAATCTCGCGGCATCTTTGGGCGGAAGAAAGCGACACCTCAACCGTGACTGACGTGGGAGGCCTAGCGAGGCTGGACCTTGACTGTGTCTTGCCACTGTCTCTGAAGTGTGAACCGTATTGCGATGGAGCTCAGAACGGGTTGGCGGCGGTCGGACCGCTTAGTTCACTTGACGAAGATCATGTATTATGAACCATATATGGGCGAGGATATCTCTCTGCGCTCCTCACGAAAGCCGATTTGATCTGTACCGGCTACCGAGGGAGGGACATGTACGACCCTTTCGCGACATCTGGGCTAGTGTACTATTCTGCCCATGTAGGATTCTATAATGAAGTTGATGGCCGCGCGAAAATGGACCCATAGAAAGCCATGACTTGACTGAATGAACTTATCATTGGTCGGCAGGCAAAGCATTCAGGAGATTCCGATGACTAAGGCAGCGTCGCTTCAATGTAACGCCGCCGAACGCAGCCTCGCGTTGTAGATGAATGTGCGGTTGTTTATCCCACCGGCGCCTGGTGTAAGAGTAGCTTGGCAGCCCAGGTCCAGTATATAGCAGCAGGTAGTAGGGTAAGAGTCCTGTTTTCGCCGCCACGAGGAGTCGTCTCTTCCAGGTCAAACGAGCATGACGGAACGACAATTACACAACCGAGACCAAGGACACCATGAGGGACAACTCGCTCTTGAAGCGGAGACCGGTCGCGAACAGGTACCGACACAGAAGCAGACAGAGACACAGACACCCATATCGAGATCGATATCCTCATCCGCACCCAGCGTCTCCATCCAAAGCCGCGTCCTGAACGAACATCAGATCGCCCTGCTGGGGCGAAAGCTGGAACTCCACCTCCCGTACTCAATCCCATTACTACGACGGATACAGTTCCATCTACAGCAGGAGCGTGCGTCGACGACGGCCCGCATCTTCGTCGCTGCTGTGCGTGGCGATGATAGCACCATCACGAGATCCAACCCCGAACCCGAGTCCGAGCCGGAACCCGAGCTCGATCGTCCATGGGACCTCGACGCTTGGTTGCTCGAAACCCAATCGTCCGATGACACCCCCTGGATCGCCGCACACGTCGATCTCGTCAACGCCGGTCAAACGCAGGTATGGGTGTTTGGGAGCTGGGAGGAGCAGGCTGAGCTCTCCCGACCGCCTACGGAGTCACATCCAATGCACAACCGACGCCTCCTCCGCCACCAACTTCTCCTCCTCCGCGCTCTATTCACGTACATCTCGCGCGACCTGATCCCGTTGCTCCCGACGACCCCGCCGGAGGAATGGCTTTGCTTGGCCCGCACGGGCAAGTACCTCAGCCGGCCGTACTCGCGGGATAAAGTCCTGTTCGGAAGCGTGAGCGACAAGCTGTGGCATCTCTTCCCGGAGAGTGCCCGCACGAGGACCGACGCCGGGTATTGGAAGTATTTGTTCTGCAGGGACTTCACTTCAGAGGCACCACCGCTACCGCCAGGATACCGCTTTGGAGGCATGCAGGACGACGACCTCCAAACCGTGCTGGATAGGACGCCCATCCCGCGCACGCTGGGCACGTTGCGTCAACTCGTTTCCGTGGGTGTTTTTCACGAGGGAAACACCGTCCGTGTCCCTGTCCCTATCCCTGTCCCTGTCCCTGTCCCTGCCCCTGGCGCTGTGGGGTGGGGGTTCTTGGGCAAGGACGCCAGTCTGTCGTCGTTGCATACCGAGGTCGAGCATCGCGGTAGGGGGCTCGCCGTCGCGTTGGGGGCGGAGTTGTTGAGACGCCATCAACGGCAGGAGCAGCAGCAGCAGCAGCAGCAGCAGCCGCCGCCGCCGCCGCCGCCTGTGGTCGTTCATTCACAATGCGGACGAGGAGACAACGGGAGCCAGGAAGAGCGACGGGACGAGGACGAGAATGCTCGAGAAGCAATGACAACGTCGACGTCGACGTCAACATCGTGGTGGGGACACGCCGATGTTAGCCAGCACAACGCCGCAAGTCGGCGGGTCATGGAGAAACTGGGCGGCCGGCCGGCTTGGATGGTCATGTGGACGGAGGTGGATATGTGTGTGTTGTTGGCCTTGGAGGGGTGGTTGTGACGTTGTCGTAGCTGAACAGCACCGGCGGTGTGTGTCTGGGGGGAGATGTCGACGTAGTTGGAGAATGCGCCAGGGAGAGAGAGAGAGAGTGAGAGGATCGTGGAGGAGGTACTCTACTACACTACACTACACTACACGAGTCACCACACATACTGGGCGATGGTGTACTTAGTTCATCTCAACGGGGACAACCTAGTACTGTAGTCTGTACTTTCACGCACTTGACTCCCGTCACCACAAGGCGTAGACTTCAGTGATCTCTCTCTCGTTCTTTCGAACCTTGATCAACGGGCAGGCAGAGAATACGACATCAAATGCTCGGTGTAACTCTATTAACAAATCATATTGTGGCCGGTCGCGCCATTACTTGCGAGGGAACCCCTCTCTTATATACCGTTCGTTGCAAGGGCCGTGCACCCAACCTCGGGCCACTGTCAATCTGTAGATCGTCCGTCATATAAACAATTGTGTTCCATTCCTTCTTACAGTGCAGACCACGCTGGGCGGAAGCAACGGGAGTAGTAGTCTCGACTTCCTCCATGCATAGCCTGGCCCACCGCTCTGTATCTCGTCATAGTTTGTCGTTAATCTCCTCTGTCTGGCCGGCCTCGACGCGCCGCAGCTTCTCCTGGTGCTCCACGTTCGCAATGGCGCTTTGCAGCGCGCTGGTCAAGTCGAGGTGGAAGAATGGCCTGTTCAAGCCGTGCACGACGGCGACCTTCTTCACCGACGCCCTAGCGTAAGCTTTACTATGTGTGATCTCTTTGGCCAGGTCATTGTCGTGGCTGGAAGTCGACGAGTGCGAGTCCTGGGTGATGTCTTCAGCCTTGGATCTGCTTCGTGAGCGGCCGTGTTCTTCGTCACGGCCATGGCGGGAGAGACGGCGGTTCTGTTCGGCCTCGGCCGCTTCAGCGGCGGATTCGGAGCCGCCGATTTCGGCGACGCTGAAGATGGGCTTCCACCGGTGGATTTCTTCTTGCGGTACCGTGGGGAAGCCAAATCCAGCGGAGGCAAGGGCGCGCTTGGTCCATCGGTTGTTGATGTTGGCGAGGTGCCACTGGACGGGTTCGGGGCTTGCGTAGCGATCCAATTGGTTGCGGATGTCAATCAGGTCCTGCACGCTGGTCACGTCGACGTTGTTGACCGCCTGGAAGTCCAATATCACGGCTTTGAGAGTCGGCAAGTGCGAACGATCTGCTTCGGTCTTGCCTCGTCGGGGGCCCGGGTTGTTCCAGGGGCGGTCACCGGGCCGTGGCCACGAGTCAGGGTTGGTCCGTCTTGTATGCTCGAAAATATATTCGACAAGATAGTCCGTGTAATGGCTTGCGTTGGGATAGTTGAAGCCCTCACTGAATCGGTAGATGAAGATGCCTGGATAAGGAGATTCCACGTGAATAGATGGATTGGAGCCATCGTTGTGGTCCAAGGGAAGGAAGATGTTTCGCTCGGCCGCGTCACTGTGTTTCGGCTGGTCGTGGAACTTGTCCTCGATCAGGTGGTCGCCAATGACGGAGTGGATCTTGACCTTTCCAACAAAATGACCATGTGCCTTCACCACGCGGTAGAGGAGAACAGCGGCGCTGACGCTGATCGTAGTGTAGATGCCGTTTTCGATAGAGGAGAAAATGGTGATGAACACGCCGAGCAAGAAGATGATGACTTCTAGCGGGGACACACGCCAGAACTGGTAGAGGACATTGGGAGGCGTGGGCAAATCGAGGACTGCATGGATGATGACAGCGGCCAGTGCGGCGTTCGGGATATAGAAGAACATGGCAGGGAGGGCGTAGAGAGCGAGCAGCACCACGATCGCGGTGATGACACCGGCAAAGGGCGTTCGGACACCAGCCTTGGACTTGATCGCCGTCCTCGAGAAAGAACCAGTTGCAGGATAAGCTCCCAGGAAGGGTCCAAGCAAATTCGTGACTCCGATGGCGACAAGTTCCTGTGAAGGATTGATGGTATAGTTGTTGATCCGGCCAAAGGACTTAGAAATCGCAATATGCTCGATAAGCAGGACAATGACAGATGCAGGCAGTTCGCTGGCAAAGTAGCTGATGATGTCGGTGTTGATGGTCGGCACGGCGGCGTGTTTGAAGCCACGAGGGACGTGTAATAAAAGTTGGAACTTGGGCTTGTCGCGGTGATGTCGGTTGACCAGCCAGGCGATCAGAATGTACAGGCAAAGCACGAACGCCGTCCGGAGAGTGCTGAGGAAGAAGAACAACTTGGCGCGATGAGGCATCTTCTTTGCACACTGGTTCAGTGTGAATCGAATCAAATACAGCATGAACAGCGCGGTCAGACCGATCGCGGCGTCAAGTTTGGTGTGGCCAAGATATCTCAAGGTGTTGATGACCACTAGATAGGTTGAATCGCGAGTGTTGAAACCTTTGACCTTGATGCCCATCAAAGTAGGTACCTGACCGACCGCGATGTTGATGGCGGAGCCCGTAATGAAGGCAGAGATGGCGGTCAGAGGGATGAAGTTGACGATCCAGCCGCACCTGATGAGTCCGATGAAACAGATGATGGCTCCGGCAATGACAGCCAAAGCCGACGCAATGACGTGGCCGGGCACCTCTGGATGCTCTTCCTGGACCTTATTGACGACATTGCCGACGATGGTGGACATGACGGCGACGGGACCGATCGTGATATCTTTCGAGGTAGCGAAGAACCAGTAGATGAGTACTCCCATGAAGGAGGAGTAGAGTCCATACTCGGGAGGGAGCTCAGCCAGTTTGGCGTAGGCCATGCTCTGAGGAACCACCACGGCACCGACAGTAATACCGGCGACCAGATCTCCGATCAACCACTGAGTGTTGTATCGCATAATCCAATGGGTAAACGGGAAGAGACTGCGCACGTATGTAAACCATTGTTGTCGGGTAGGGATGAGATCTTTGACCCAGTCGATACTCCTAGGCTCCTCCTCGACGTAGGAATCGGCGGTGTTGACTGAATACGTTGACTCGCCGCGAGTAACGGTATCAGTGCGATAGTCGAGCTTGATGCCGAGTACCTTGGCCAAACCGTGACCAACTTTCGATCGAGTGGACGCCATGGTCACGTCTAGCAGGTCTGTTCAGAAGCCCGTAGAGCGTGTTTCCAGCGGATGAACCTAATGGAGGCTCGAAGTATGGAGGGAAGGCAAACCTCTATAAAGGGAGGGAAGTGGGAGAGGTGCTCGTGCGTATATATGGCACTGAGTGGCGTCAGAGTGGACTTTGGTCAGAGTTTGAGCCCTGGGTTCGGTGCAGATTGGCTTGGGAACGCCCTATTCTTGGGGAGATACGGATCTGATTCGGCCCTGCAGGCCTTGATTGCGGGCCCACGCTCACTTTTCGAGTGGTTAGGTATGCCAAGCCCGGTAGTGTGGGTGCGTGGCCGTAGGCGGAGACTGAGGATCGCGACGGGGACTGGGGTGATGCGTAGCGGCTTGTTGGCTGGCGCGCCCCTAGAGGCAACCTCGAAAGATCGCTCAACCGCTCGATGTCGAGGCCGAACGAGAATACGACAACGGTGCCAGGGGTTCTAGTGAGGGATGGTCTGCGTTCTTGCTCTGATGAAAAAGGGAGGAAGCCGTTGTTCTCTGCGTATACACCCTCGACAAGACTAGTCAAGCGCCTCAAGGTTAGAAGCTCATCGGTGGTGCGAGGCTGTCGCTTCAATCGGTAAAGGCCGTGGGGAGTTTGCCAGAGGTGTTATATATGAGGTGATATTGAATAATATAAACAACAAGGATTGGATGAGGCGCCCAAGCATCGAACACAGTTTCCGTCCTACGCAACCTCCCGCGGCAGTAACAAGCGACGGCAATGCGGGCGTCAATGAACGGCTAAATAAGCGAGATCTCGGCCAGCATGACATCGTTCAAGAGGCATCAGGGGGGATCTTCAAGATCCTCGACGGGGCCGTTGTTGCGGACCCAGTGAAAGTTTTAGTTGGAGCTGTGGATGGCACATATGGAGTCAGCCGCCGGCGCGATGGTGCCATCGAAGGCGTGCTGCCGCCAGGCTCATCGATTCTTGAACGGTGAGCTCATGCTCATCGCCGGGTCGCTGTCAGTTTGCTCAATTGGCGCATTGGGAGCACGGATTGCAAGCGCTTGCACGGAGGCAAAGTCCCAGGAAGAAGAAACAAGCACCCAGGCTTAGCAGTGTCAAGCACGATGGCTGTTCTCCCAAGAACGCTTTGCTGCCCAAGCACCAGAAGCATTCTTGGAGCTGCTGGTCATGGGTCACACGATAGCCGAGACCGTGATACAACCAAGAACCAAGGCTCCCTGTCGCCTGCTGTGGCTGGGCTGTACGCGGCAGCAAGAGGTCGTGGCGAGACCCCGACGCAACCCATGCTGGGCGTCTCGTCTAAGTCTGCATTCGATGGTCTTACCATGTCGTTGGTGTTGAGGACGTGCTGATGAGAGCAGCAACGGCCAACTTTGTCATCCGTTGATCATGATCGTCATGGTTAGAGGCTCCATCGGCGGGTTGACTTTGCAGTTTCGCAACTGAACCACGAGTTTGTCTGTGCATCTTCTCGAGTCCGGGTCCGTAGTGGGGTCCTGAGTCACCGTGCTGTGCCTTCTCGCATGCATTGCGATCTAACGTGGTTAGCAGTGTTACTGCGGACAACAGTGTGCACAAGATCTCTTACTCGAGCGAAATGGCGTGCTCGGTGCTCAGTTGCAAATGCGAGGCTTGACGTCTGTGCGGTCGAATCAGAAGCGCTCAACGTGCGGGATGCCAGGTTCCTGGCTTGTCCACTTGTGGGATAGACATGCAATCCAAAAGCGACCCAATATCTCGTCCAATCATCCCGGCCTCTCAGCCGGTGGGTGTCCGCTAAATGCTGATGCAATCTGCGCCATAATGAGCCCATCCTCACCTCCTGGCTGTGCGAGCATATCAGGGCGCGCTCTCACCCCTCGCTCGCCTCAATGACCTCTTTTCTCACGCAGAGAACGAGCGCCACATTATCTTGAGAGAATTTTATTACCATGCCTCGGGACAAATATCAAACAGAAAGAAGAGGGGAGGCGAAGTGAAATCTCCGTGAGCCGGAAGTGAATGAAACGTGAACAAGATGAGGAAGCCCAAAAGATTGCCATTTCGGTTGACCGCTTTTTGGCCACATGTGCCAAGAAAGCATGGTTGAAGGTGCACCCCCCGAATATGCATTTCCGGGCTTCAGCCACCAGGCGCGCCGGGCGCCATGCTCGTGTTGGCTGCCGTTAGATTCTGCTCCGGCGTGCTCTGGCACGCTGGCTCCTGATTTTCCGCTTCGAGCAGCTTTCACATGCCCATATGGCTGTGAACCTAGGGCACCTTGTTTACGAGCACCAGGACCGCCAGGAGGCACGCCTGGAGGCCATAGCCGATACTCCGTATCTCCGGGCTTACTCCGCGAGCAGGGTAGGCACGTCGCAAGTTCCGTTCTAACACTGCGTACTCCGCTGTCGAACTGTATACAATACACGCACTGGCGAGACGCGTGTCCGTCGCAGGACCTACTGCCGATCTCTTGATTTAGCATGGTTCACGCACTCAGGTGCACGAGCCTCGAAGGCTCGAAGCTATAAAAATAGCTACCCCAACAAAGGCGAATTTCAGTCATGTGCAACCCGCCACAGTGTTCTCTGTCATGGGTTGAGACGTGAGGTGCCTTTATCAATAGGAGATGGCACCTGGGTGGACGGCGCAATTCACATGTGCTTATTCCTGTGGTAGAAACTTGGCGCAACAGCAGCGAGTGCCACTGCGCTCCTAGGTCTATACAGTATGCGACCTTCCCAGGCGTCGGCAGGTATTACTCTTTCCCTGCTCACCACCTGTTTCATGTCCCCGATTCTATCATGCAGCTGCAAGTCCATCTAATCCGTGGTGTACCTGCTGAGATCCAAGGCGGACACGTCAAGTCTGGCCGCGGCCTCAGTCGAAGCATGACTACTTCACCCTGGTGGAACTCCAGACGTGGAAGCCTTCCCCACCGAAACGCCTGCGTTAATCGATCGTCCTGTCCCACTCCATGCGCCATACCATGCCCGTTGAAAACTCCGGTGACCCAGTATCAAATGCAGGAATACCCTACGGTCGCTAATGCTTTGGAATCATCCACTTGTGGCATCGGTCAACACGCCACATCTTCGACAGCCGTTCCTCTGTTCGTCTCTGCGTGTCTCGTTGCCACGTCGTCTTGAATTGTCTCTTACTGAGATGCGCATTGCACTCTCTCGGCACCAGCGGGAATGCCGTCTTCGTCATCTTCGTCAGTGGCGCCATGAGCACGTGCCTGCTGTCGAGGGTCGACTTCTTCCAGGTCGAAGTCTTCAACCATGCCATCAGCAGGTGGCAACTTCTGTTGCATGCGAGGCGGTAGCACTTGTTCGAGGAGTGGGAGATTTTCACTGTTGATTGTAGACTTGTCGGGGAATTTGACGTCGAATTGGATGTACAGGTTGCCGAAGTCATGGTGTCTTAACGATGGCATTCCCTGACCTTTGATCACCTTGATAGATCCTGGAACGGGTTAGCCGGGCAACGTCTCTGGATACCGGAAATCGAAGAAACTTACCGGGAGTGATTGGCTCGCCGGGGTAGATGTTGACAGTCAACCATCGGTCGTCGAGATGCTCAATGTAGATCTGACCACCAGCCAGCGCGGTCAATAGATCGATCTCGGCATGGTAGAAAAGATCGTCGTCCTTCCGTTGAAATCGTGGATGAGGTTTCTGTTCGATTTCGAACACGACATCTCCCGCGAGGACGCCGGGCATCTGGTCACCTTCGCCGCGGAATTCGATCTTGTGGCCGCTCTTGACACCACGGTCGACGTGGACGTGCAGTACCTTGCGCTCCACGACAGTCTTCTTGCCCATGCAGCGCTTGCATCTGTCACGCTCACGGATGGTCTCTCCCTCTCCCTGACAATCGGGGCAGATTGTCTGGAACCGCTGGATCATGGGGCCCATCTGTCTCATCATGGTCTTCATACCCGCACCGTTGCAGCCGGCGCAGGTTTTAACTGCACCCTCCTTGCCTCCGCGACCGTCGCACTGTGGGCAGATGACAGACTTCTGAAGAGCCAGTTTTGAGACTTTCCCTTTGTAAATATCCTCCAACGAAACTTTATGGACGTGATGGATAGTTCTTGCTTTCTTTGGGCCAGTCTCACGCATGCCGCCCCCAAACATGCCTCCGAAGGATGAGCCGCCACCGAAGAATTGTGCGAAGAGGTCCTCTGCAGCCATGCCGCCCCCGCCCATGCCTCCTTGTTCTAGGCCTTCCTCACCATATTGATCATAGAGGGATCGTTTTTGAGGGTCGGAAAGGACTTCATATGCTTTGGAGAGGTCTTTGAACTTTTCGGCCGCATCAGGGTTGTGTGCATTCTTGTCTGTGTCTTGTCAGAATCTTGCAACACAAGGATGGCCGATCAAAGGGGTCCTTACCAGGATGATGCTTCAGAGCGCCCTTCTTGTAGGCTGTCTTCAGTTGAGCCTCTGTGGCCGTGACTTCAACCTATGACAACTCAGTTGGCATTTTCCCAGCCTCGCGATGGGATACCCCAAACTTACCCCGAGGATGTCATAGTATTTTGTCTCTTTGACCATCTTGCTGGAGTCCTTTGTCGATTACGAGGGTCGATACGCTGAACCGACTTTTTGGGATAGCAGAACAAGGCAAGGTGCGGAGCGTAAAAGATTTGTGTGTCAGCGGAGAGAGAAAGTTAAGAGGCGAGCTGTGCCGATCGCGGTGGAGAACGGAAGTGAAGGTGAACTGTGAATGAAGTCGACAAGCGCTGGATGGATGTTGAGGCCGAAGACTGGTGCTGGTGCTGGTGCAAGTGCAGGCTCTGGATCTTGATTTATGAGGCTCGGTTCTGGCAAACGCTGGCAATGCGCATTGTTTATCAGTCAGCGGCCCTCTGCAGTCTGTCGTGAGGCAACGACAATCCCTGTGAAAAAGTGCATCACAGGCTTCTGCCAGGCGCTTCGATCAGATTCCGTAGGTTTCCTCCGGCTTTAGCGATAGATCTGGTCCACGCCGATTCGTTCAAGTCGCGGAGTCTATTGTTTTCCTGACCTATGATTCGCTGCCGCTCCGATTTCCCTCTCCACAAATATTATGAAACAGAAAGTGCATTCTCAACCGATTCCCTCGTATTAATTACTTGCATACCGAATCAGTGAATATTGACTTGATATCTGAGCCTGAGCAGCCAGCCACGCGAACAATAAATATCGTACAGGACGCTCTCACACATACGGAATGTCAACTAGATGGAATGTTTTTAATCGGCGCAGCGCCACCTTTTGTCAAAGCCCCCGCGGTGTGGAGGAGAGCAGCTCTGTCTAGAGCTGAACACCACGAATCCGCCTTGCACCCCACAAGTCATTAGACGCATATGCGGCTGAGCAGCAATCCACGCAGCCATGTAATCTCGATCTATCTCAGGCACCCAGTACTAAATACACCAGAACTTCAGAGTACCCGAGGATGAGCATGTGCTCACTCGCAGCCGTGCCAATATTTTGAGATAGACCAGCATACACGCGGCTCACTTGATGAACGTATTTACAGGCAACCGATACACGTCAATCGTCCAGTACGGCCGCCTCGTCCCCTCCCACATCTTGCTGCCATGCAACCCTGCAGGAACGTCGATATCCTCCCACGTGGTCTCAAACCCAGCTTCACGAAGATCGATCTCAGCGACCTTGGTGTACACATCGTAACAGATTTGCCTATCCGCACCAAGCCCGTTGTACCAGCCGAACCTCCCTTCCGGTGTAAGTAACTGAACGACATACTCGGAAAAGAACTCCTTCAGCGCCGAATAGTTTTCCGCAAATGTATCATAGTAGATGGCGTCCAGTTGCACGCCCTCGTCCACCAACTTGGGCAGCACATCCTGCCACCGGCCTTCATGGATGACAACACCAGACCTGTTATACCAGCCCTGCTCTCGCAATCGGGCAAGGACCTGCGGATGCGCCTCAACGATATGATGCTCAGCAGGGGCGTGTGTCTGGATCGCCGTGTCGACGATGCCCATCCCGTGGCCAACGTTCATCACTCTGAGTCCCTTCTTCGGTATCAACGTCTCCGCGTGTCGTTGCATTATGTCGGTTTCCCAGCTCATCATGACCATATTCTTGGTCTCATCCATGAGAATTCCAGGTCCGTACCGCAGCTGGCTCTTCAGGTACGCGTGGTTGTCCAATGAGACATCATCCAGAACCTTTGCCTCTATGACCTGTTCGACAGCTTTGGCGTCATCCGACGAGAGTTTCTGTTTCTTGACAGCCGGCTGCTCGCCATTCGTCGCATCGTCTTCGTCGTCTTCCTCCTCGTCCTCATCGTCCAAGCCAAGCGCCTCCATCTTCGCGAAGAGGAGTTCCGCCCGCACGCCAGCCTCAACCATCATCTCGTAGATCTTGCTTTGTCCCAGTCGGAGCGCCACGCAGCCGGGCGTTTCGTCCTCTTTATTCAGATCGTTCCATATCGCACCGTTCTCGAGGAGTAATTCGATCGTCTTGATCGCATCGTCATCTGCCTCTTTTCCATCCTCGGCTTTTCCGCATGACGCGACTGCGGCGTGCAATGGCGAGGACGCAACTTGGGCAGTAGGATCTTGCACGTTGGCAGAACCGTCCTTCAGGAGGATTTGAAGGGCGGGCACGTCGTGTCGCTCTGCGGCGGAGATGATGCGTTTTGCGAGGAGGATATCCTCTTCTGATGCTTGTTCGGCCATGCTTGATTCGACAAGTCCGTTTTACTGCGACCGCATCGTTGTTGTGCGGAGGGGAAACTTTTTTGTGCAGGGGTCCGATATGACTATACGATAAGATTAGATTAGATTAGATCCAAGGGTGCAAGGGCATTCAGCCCACACTCTGCGAAGCGCAGGGGCACGAAGAGTTCGCGCGTGGCAACCTTGTTTTCTACACGGTACTGTGGTACTTCTTGAGGTCCGGGTCTATGAAACAAAAGTAGCAGTTGAGCCACAAAATGCCCTGCCTACGCCAAGGTGCTTTCTTACTTGTCCACGAAGCATTTTCCCACGGCATCAAACTGACGGGATATCATATCTCTACTGCTCGTGGAGTCGCCCTCACTCTTGCCCGGTAGGCAGTAACGCGCATATCTTGGTCTCGAAGCGGTGCGCCTGCCCACTTGCCATATTTGACGGGAGCCTCAACGTCTCGTGTCCAACCCATTGAACCCTATCTCGCGAGGAGGACGCATCAAACATGCCGGAACCTCAAATCCAGCCGATTCCGCCTCGGTTTCGTCGTATAAGCGTCCACCTCCTCGATGCCGTCATCATCCACGATCTCCGTCCTCCAATTCGAGTAGATGCTCGCCACCAACAGTTTGATCTCCTGCGTGGCCAGGTGACTCCCGATGCACATGCGTCCACCGCTCCCGAAGGCCCAGAACCAGCGATGCATCTCCTTGAGTTGCTCTTCGGAGGTGTGACTCGGAAGCCAGCGTGTGGGGAGGAAGGTCTCTGGATTTGGGAAGACGACCGGATTGCGGTGCAAAGTGTATGGCATGGCGGAGACACGGACCCCGCCCGGGATGTTGCTGTATGGACCCAGTGTGTTTCCGCCAGGGACGTGCGGGGAGATACGTGGTTCGATACCTGGGATGGGAGCGTGGAGACGGAGCGTTTCCATCACAATGGCGTGCAGGAGCGGAAGGGCATCGATCTGTTTGGGATCGGGGAGCTTAAAGTCCTTGGCTGGATCGCTGCCCGTGGGTAGTGGCCACTTGATGGGTGGAGTCAGGCTGAGCACTTCCTGTCGGAGTTGGTCTTGGAGAGTAGGATTTTTGCTCATTTCCCAGGACAGGTAGGTTAGAGCGATGGCGGAGGTTTCGTGGCCGGCGCCGATTTGGTCGAGCATCTCGCTGTAGATTTCGGCCGTGGTGGTGTCACTGCCATTGGTGTGGAGATTTTCGTGGCGAGTGGTAGGGAGGGTGACTTCGCCGACTGCTTTGCCGGCATTGGGGTCCTTTTCACGCAGTTTTGTGATGCCCGTCTTGAATTGCTTGTAGACGACCGGCTCGTCACCGGGGTTTGCCAAGGTGTTGTTGTCACTACCGGCCAGATATTTGTCGGCCGCGCGACACATGCCGGCATTCCAATCTTCCAGCAGAACATTCGCCTGATCGACAAAATATGGCACGACCTGCAACCCGAGCCTCCGAGTCAGCTTCTTCAGCCACGGCGCTTCAGCAGAAAAGAACTCATAGTCCCTCCTACAATGGTACTGGTGGAGGATGTGTCGTCTTTGGGCCAAATCCTGCGTGAAGTTCGTTCCAGCAGACAGGCCAAATTGGTAAGCAGACATAAAATCCATCGCGATCGCGTTATGCAGGTCGTGGACATCTGTCGGTTCGCCCGATTGCGACAGATCCTGAAGCAGGGGGAGGATCCGAGTCGAGAATAGAGCATGAGAATTGGCGGCGACCTGGGGGGACGAGGCAATGTAGGTTTTTGAGTAGACGTTGGCCATAGTACGCTTCTTCTGGGAATGAGGTCCGTGGTGGATTGTTGAGAACATGTTCATGACGCTGTTGCATTCATTAATGGATGCCCGACGCGAAGGTGTTCGGGGCGACTCACCCATAGGAGCCAAACCGCTGAGGGTACCATGCATGCTTCTCCCATCCACCAGCGTAGATGGTCTTGATGCCATTCTCGACACAATTGACGCTCAACTCGTTCGCCCCCATCCGCACAACGGTGCCGTGCTTCAAGTGTGCCGCGTATGTGACAGCGTTGTTCCTTTCCATGTATCGCTGATAGGTGATCCATAGGTCGCCAAAGATTGGAATCGACCAGTGAGCAGAGGGGATATGTTTCAGCGGATGAAACAGCAAAGGGTGGATGATGAATCTGTACAAGCACAATACAGCGAGTGAGCTGAATGCGAGTAATGGAAATGATGGGAGCGCCATTGTCGCTGGCTGCCAACAGTGAAACCCGTCTTCCACTTCTATCTGACGACCTCTCATGCAATACCTTCTGTCGCTGGGGTCACGTCCTCCAACTCGATGGACGGATGAAAGGTAACAATAATCTCCCGGTACGTCGGTTGTAGGCTGAAGACCTGAGATCCGACTGTCGAGATAGCTATATCTCCTTCGATACTTTTGTCTCACGGAGATGTGAGCGGCATCAGTCATAAATAGACCAGTCCATACCCCTAATGTCAAGAGTAGACGAACAAGATAGCATCGGCCTTCCATTAGGGACATTTCCCACACATTGCCGTCGGCTGTCGCACATGTCCGTATGCAGGACACATTCGACCTTGGCAGACGATTGGTTGGTCTGGTAGTTGCATATACATCGTGGTGCTCGTAAGAGAAGGATAAAGGGTCAAGACAGAGGTTGAGATAGAGGTATTGAGGTAGCATGTGAACAGTAGACAGAAGGCTGAACTCCACTTGAGCAAAGGTGGCTAAGGCAGCCGTCTACTGACTTTGCAGCAGTGTGCGTTGCCTATCACGTCGCGGTATCTTTTTGTTTGCCGTTTCCCACACCCGACGCCGGCTCCTCGTCGCCGCTACTCGAGAAGTCCTCTTCGTCATCAAAGCCAACAAAGCGTCGAACAGGTGGTCTGGGCTGAGGAAGTAAATGAGCCGGGATCTTTAGCCGATTCTCCAGGACCCAGATCGCATCGGCATCGCCAGCTTCGGCTTCGGCTTTGAGCAGGGACATCGCATCCTTCTCTAGCTCCATCAGGGGCTCATCCCCACTGTCGTCGTCTTCGCTGGCAGCAGCAGACCCTCCGCTGCCACTGCTCTCACCTTCTTGCTCTGAAGACGGCTTAGCTTTGCCCTTCTCTTCTTCAGCCATCATAGCCATTTTCACGGCGTTGCGCACATTTTCTCCAACTTCCTCCTTTGTCTCGACCCATTCGTCGCTAAGTCCCTTACGGCGACCGTCTTGGCCCTTGCCCGCGCGCATATCAGCTTCCCTCTGCTCTGCGAGTTCGATGACTTGTTCCCATCTTTTGCGTCTTTCTTCCTTCTCTTTCCTCTCCATCTCCGGCTTGGTCGCCAGATATGTGGCCAGATTCTTTGCTTCGGTTATGGTCCTGAGCCGTCGGCCATCCAAGTTGCGAGCACTACCTGTGGCAAGTTCGGCATTCTGGCGCTTCTTCCGTGACGACATACGACCTCCAGCCGCCCGCAATTGAGACCCGAACCCACCTTTCCCTCCCACCAGTGCTGCGGACAGGCGGACGGGGAGGAGCCAGCTGCTTCCATCCTGTTGACAGGAGGAAGAAGCACTCAGATCCTTGAGAGTGATAGTGGATGAGGAGCATATGGGTCGATTCGAGGTCGAGGTAAGGATCAGACGGGTAGATTCCCGTAACCTAGATGGCAGCAGCTCTGCGACACTGGCCAACAGTTCCTCAGTGGTTGAAGAAGCAGGCAAGGGCAGGCAAAGCGTAGAAGGGAGCGACAAGCCTGGGAAGGACCCCAGCAGGACGTTGACGATGGGCGCCATCATGTGCCGGTAGATGCAAGAGCCAATTTCCCGACAGTCGGCGCGAGAACTGTCAGATTGACAGAGATATAAGTGCTGAAACTATGATTGTAGAGACGTGGTGGTGGCTTGGTTTGAGGTGAGGCACATGCGACTGTTTGGAGATGATCACAAATCAGCGTGTCGCAATGCGATCGCTTGACGACGGGGCTTTGGGGGGTTCCTTGCAGGCCGCTTTGCAGCCAAGGTTGAGCGCAGGCGCAGTCTTCTAGCTGCTTCAGGCGGTAGGCGGTCCACTAGAGGCGCCCAGGGAGGGAAATTTAGGCGGCTAGGGTTGAAAATAGTTAGCGGCCAGAGCCGGGGAGACGCATCGTGGGTCACAATCGGCTGAATGGCCGTCGACTTCTCAAACCTCCGGAAACTTCTTTTTCGAGTGAACGCGTCGCAAGAGGCAGGCAACGACCGATAACTGCTCCTTCTCACCGCTTACGACACGGCCGGCCCTGAAGTCATCGACATGGTATTACCCACCGGCAAAACTCGATCGTAAGATGGCCATTGACGTCGCCGGCTGATGAATTTCCACGAGACAACGCACAATCGCGCATTGGCCCCTGGACACGCTCCACAGATCATCGCGAGGCCACGGTCACGGTCACGGCCACGGCCAGCGTGAGATCCGCCCGGACAGTATTCTCACGACAGACCTTCTCTCGACGCAAAGAGGAATCCGAATTCCTCATTAATATGCCCTGGCAGCCGCTGCCTCTGTCGTATGCGGTTGCCATCTACCCGTTCCAGCCCTCGGCATCACCGTCGGAACTGCCTCTCCAGATTGGTGACCAGTTATATGTCATCGAACAAGGCGGCAAAGATGGCGCCTGGTGTCGGGGCTACCTGGTGGCACCACCTACCATGTTATCTGCATTGACACCTAACGGCAGGACTGCTGGTGACGCCCGCGTCTTCTCAGGCATATTCCCGAAATGCTGTATAGAAATTCGAGAACAGCTGGGCCCCGATGTCGAAACCTTGGTTCAACCAGGCCAGCCCAAGCCATCGGCTCCGGTACCCATGCTGAAGATTGGCGATGAGTCCCCGACCTCAACGACTGAGCCATTAGTGGACGAAATCACTTCCTGTCTACGAGAATGGTACATTCTTCACCTCCCGGACCTGGTTCTACGGCGGCGATACCATGTTCTCAACCACATGTCAGAGATCACCACACGGCTTGACTACGCCAG